CGTGTATGGTCATTTTTAGTCATTAAAATTATATGGGAAAAGGTCTTTAGAAACTGATACTCAGACACATTGAGCCAAGACAAAACATAAATCTCCCTTGACCAAAACAAATATATATCATAGGATTGTCTGCCAAACACTTCTGATTACAATGCTAACCAGTGTGTCTGTAGAGTGGAACAGCAGAGCAAGAAATGTGAGGGCAGTCAGAAAAGTAAAAAAAGTGTCCTTACCTTCAAACTCTGATTCCAGTGTGTCTTATCTGACACTGAGTTTTGAAGGCAATGTTTGACACAAAGGGGATAAGAAAGAAAGAAAGAAAAGGAGATGAGAGTGGGTAGAGGGTGGGACTGGGCCAGTCCACTTCTAGCTTCTGGTTCTTAGATGCTGTCAAGTATGATACATAGCAACCTTAGAACATCGTATCAGAAACCTGCCCATGGTCTTTTTTAATTGCTTACTATGATTCAGAGAGTTGGACAGTCAATAAAGATGACAGAAGAATTAATGTCTTTGAGCTGTGGTGCTGGAGCAGAGCACTAAATATCCCATGGACTGCCAAAGTGAAGACGTAAAAAAAAAGAATGAGCAAGTGTATCTTGGAGAGAGTGCTCCTTGGAGGGGAGGATGGTGAAACTCACACTCCACGCATGTTGTTAGGAGGGGCCGGTCCTTGGAGAAAGATGTCATGCTGCTTCTAACTGTTGTTGTCATGCACCAAGACAGAAATGACTCATGGGTGACCCTCTGGCAGGTTGTCAGAAGCAATTTAATCACACAGGAGGAGAGTGCCCATTTTTCTCCCACAGAACAGCTGGTAGATTCAGAATGCATGCCTTTGGGATCGCAGAGCAGCTTCTTATCCCTACGCCACCCGAGCTCCCTATTTACTGTTGTTAGGGGGCATTGAATCAACTACGACTCATCAAAACCCTATGAAGAACAGACCTGAACCCTGTCCTATCCTCTGCCATCCTCATCAACTCTGACATACTTGAGCTCATTACTGCAGTCTCTGTATCACTCCAACACATTGCGGGTCTTCCTCTCTTTCTTTGACCCTCCATATATCCAAGTAGTATGTCTCTTTCCAAGGAAAAACCTCTCTTACCAATATGTCCAAAGTAGATGGAGCTTTGTCATCTCTGCTTTCAAGGGACATTCTGGCTGCATTTTTCCCATGACACCTGTTTCTTATTTTGGCAGTCCATGACACACTGGATATTCTTCTCCAGCACCATAGCTCAAAGGCACCAATTCTTCTGTTATCCTTATTCATTGTCCAGCTCTCAGATGCACAGCAGGTGATTGAAAAAAAAAAAACATTGCCTGAATCAAACACATCTTAATCTTTAAACCACTATAATTTTTCTTAAGTATCTTGGAGAAGTCCCTGACAGCTGACTTACCCAAGCAATACTTCTCCTGATCTCATGACTGCTGATGCCAAGGGTGTTGATTGTTGATCCAAGCAAGATTAAATCATTGACAACGTCAGTCTTTTCTCCATCTATCAAGATGTTGTCTTTTGGCCTCATGGGAGGACCTTTGTTTTCTTGATATTGAAATGTAATCCATATCAACAGCTGTAGTTCTTAATTTTTTGCAGCAAGAACTTAATGCCCTCCTCACTTTTAGCAAACAAGGTTATGTCATCAACAGATGACACATAATATATCCACTTCCTAAACAACATGCCTCTGGAAACTCTATGAACTTTCCCTTTGAGTCAAGTATGACTCACAGCAACCCTATGAACAAAAGGCCTGAAATCCCTCTTTGACCTATCAATATTTAAAACATACACAATTATAATATAATATTATTATATATAGTAATCTCCAGCTCGGAACAGTTGGATTCTGGGGGTGTTTTTTTATTTACTTGAAGCTGAGTGTAAACTGTTCAGACTTTTTTTTTTATTTTGTTAACTATCAAATGTAAGCTGATTAGCCATTTCTGAATTCATTAACAATCAGCTGTGGGCTGGAAGCCTCTTGTTTAAGCAATCAAGACCTAGAGGGTGGGCCTTTGTATGCTGGGAAAGGTGAAGGGTCAACAAAGGGGAGGAAAACCCTCAACCAGGTGAATTGACATGATGACTGCTTCAGTGAGCTCTTGTGTGTCAAGAAGTGTGATGATGGTGCAAGATAGAATAGGATTCAGATATTTCTCTCATAGGGTCACCATGAGTCATACTTGACTTAACAGAACCTAACCACACACACACACAAACACACACATATAAATGCCTTCCTGGGATCCTAATGCCACATCTCTCTTAATAGAGTCCAGCTTCTGAAATTATTTACTCAGCATACAGATTAAACAGTCATTAAAAAGTCATAAAATCCCCAACGCACGTCTTTCCTGATTTTAAACCATTCAGTGTTTTCTTGCTCCATTCAGAAAGAAGCTTCTTAATCTAGATATAGATTTCTCAGGAGCACAATTACGTGTTCCAGAATTCTTCATTCTTCTCAATGTTAGCCATAGTTGTTATGACACATAGTCAAATACCTTTGCATAGCGGTCAACAGTCAATAGTGGTGATTGAAACACAGAAGTTGGAAGCAATGTGGAAGGAGTGGTAACTGGAAAGTATGGATTAGGTGACAGAAATGAGGCTGGGGACTGAATAATTGAATTTTGTAAACTCAATGATTTATTCACTGCAAATACCTTTTAAAAAAAAACACACAAGAGGTAACTTTACACATAGACCTCACCTGATGGACAGCAGAACAATCAGATTGACTATCTGTGGGAGGAATCATTAGAGAAGCTCAATGCCAGCAGTCAAAACTAGACCAGGTGCTGATTGTGGAACAGCTCATCAATTATTTATGTACAAGTTCAAAATGAAGCAAAGTAAAACTAGTCCCCAGGAATTGAAATATGACATTGAGGCTATCCTATCTGAATTTAAGAATCATTTCCAGAACAATTTTGAGGCTCTGAATACCAATGATCGAAGACCAGAGCAACTAGGGAGAACATCAAGGATACCATGCATGAAGAGAGCAAAAGGCCATTACAAAGGGGAAAAGAGGGGGAAACGAAAATCAGAACTGATGTCAGAAGAGACTGTGATAATTACATTACATCGTCAAGAAGCCAAAACAAAAGGAAGAGATGCTGAAGTAAAAGAGTTAAACAGTAGATATCAAAGGGAAGCTTGAGAAGAAAAATAAAAAAATAACAACAAAATGTGCAAAGAGCTGGAGTCAGAGAATAAAAATGAAAGAACTCATTTGGCATTTCTCAAAAAAAAACCCTGCAAAACAAAATCAAGCCTCAAGTTGCAACCCTGAGAGATGCTATGGGCAAAATCTTGAATGATCCAGTAAGCATCCTCTCTTCATATTTCCTGTCAAAGAGGGACATCCATATCTTTGGGGATGTAACTTTCTAATAAATGTCCTTACAATTCTATGTTATTTTCAAAAAAAGAAGAAGACGTTGATAGTAGGAATATAGTCACTATACCAGAAAGAATTAGTCAACACTGAAAAGTTTCAGGAAGCACCATATGAACAAGAGCCAATCATAACGAAGGGTGAAGTTCAAGCCGCCTTGAAGGCATTGGCAAAAAATAAGGCCCCAGGAATGGATGGGATACAAACTGACATGATACAAATAACAGATGCAGCTCTGGACATGCTAACTAGTCTACAACAGAAAATCTGGAGGACACTTGCCTGGAAGAGATCGATGTTTGTCCCCATTCCCAAGGAAAGTAATCCAGCAGAATGTGGAGATTATCAAACAATACATTGAGATCATATGCAAGCAAAATATTGCTGAAGACCATCCGTCATTGACTGGAACAGTACATTGACAGGGAACTGCCAGAAGTTCAAACTGGGTTTAGAAGAAAGCCACAGCTACCAGGGATTATCATTGCTGATGTCAGATGGATCCTGGCTGAAAGCAGAGACGGTAAGAGGGAAAGCAGATTTCCCTAGAGTGTGTGAAATTTGTGTCAGGAGTCAATGTTGGTTGCTGCTCCATTTCATCATGTAGTCATTTTCAGAGTCTAGTCTTTTTCCAAAGTTTTATTATCTACGGCTTATACACTTGATTTATAGTCATGTTATGCTATTACCTAGCCTGTGATTCTCAGTATTTTGGCAGATATAAGGTAATCCCTTAAATTTTGTATTTGTGTGAGCAGTAAATCACAATCAAAGTGGAAGTTTTCTTGCTTAACAGGGATGGAAAATGAGGGAGTGGGAGATAAAGATTAGTAAATAGATATTTGAATGAAAGGAAAGGTGATATATACAACAGGAAGTTGGTTAGACATTGTAATTAAAACAAAATATATATGAATGATTAACTTAAAAGCCAATATGATTCTTAAAGTTTTAAACCAAAAATTATATTTTGTTGTGTTGTTGTTGTGTGCCATCGAGTTGCTTGCGACTCATAGCGACCCTATATACAAGAGCTCTATACGTTCTTCTATCCTGTGCCAACCTAGCCATCTCAAATGCAGTTACTCCCACCTCTCTAGTCAGAGAATCGATCCATCTCATCAAAGGTCTTCCTCTCCTTTGTCACCCCTCCACTCTGCCAAACATGATGTCCCTCTCCAAGGACCAGTCCCTCCTTGCAATATGCCCCAAATATGTCAGACGAAGCTTCAGAATCCTTGACTCCAGGGAACATTCTGGCTTCACCCTCTCATGAGCCAGGAGAGGCCTCCAGCCTGCTGCCTGACATACAGATCTGAGATTTACCAGACCCCACAATTATGCAAATCATTTCCTTACAATTTTTGAATGAATTTCTGTGTGGTAAATTCATATGCACACACATAAACACTTCATTGGATTTATTCCTCTAGAGAAGATATACCATTAACAAATTTCTCCAGTGGGTGAAATATTAGTGTACCACGGACTTAAAGAGAGGAGGTAGATGGGAGAGTAGAATAAAACTGGAGAGAGACATGCACACACAGTGAAACTTTTCACCATTTTATTTGACTTCCATCAGATCAGTGGCCTTCGGAGACCATGGGAAATCACCGTGCTTTGGTATTTGGACAGAGGAGAGTGCAAAGGCATGTCTGCAATTCTTATTTCTGGTGGAGCTTTCTTCAAGACAGCCTTACGATCTTCCCCATGGCAAAGCCTCTCGCGGTGACCCAGAAATAGAGAGTCTTCTAAAGGGCCAGTGTCAATTCCACTCTCTTTTGCGTGCTGAGAAGAAAAATTAACATCAATATGAGATCAAACATCACTTTCTTAGTAGGTAAGAATGGGAGGTTCACAAGAGCTTTTTCTAACAGTGCCTGTCCAAAAGGAAGAGCTAGTGGCCAGCACACCCATTGCGGAGACAATGCTCTGTCGTCGGTTTTACCAGACTTCTGGTAACATAAGCTTGGAGACACGTTGTTGAACTCTTGTTTTACTACTTACCAAGGCACCTTATATGAGGCATTTATCCACATGAGACTCAGTTTGCGCAAATATAATGAGGATAGTAAAGATCCCTTGAAGACTGAACAAAACATTTGAACAAAAAAACTCGTTTTGTCAACTATTAACAATAAATATTCTTGTTGTTTTTGTGTACTATTGAGTCAGAACGGACCCACAGACGACCCTCTGGTGAGTTTTCAGAGACAGTTAATTACAGGGGAAGAGACTGCCCATTCTTCCCCTTCTCCCACAGAGCAGCTCGTAGAGTCAAATAGCATGCCTTCAGGGTTGCAGCACAGCTTCTTGCCACTAGGCCACCAGTGCTCAATAATAAACATTAGATACTATTAAAACTACTAAATATTAAGTATGACATTGCTATGTTAGCTGCATGCATAACAGCTATTTAAGGTTGTTGGATTGAGTGCACTCTACTCCTTATCTTGGGTAGAGTCATATGCTGTGTTTTCACACAGTTAAAACATCTCCTACAGAAAAAATGGTGCGGGCAAAGGGAAAGATGGAAAACAAGAGCTAACAATTACTAAATGTATGCATTTTTGAGGAGGTGAAAGAAAATGGTCAATAAAGAAAAAAATTTAAAAAGTATTCATTTTGTTTTCTTATTTAATTCTCATTGTAGCTCTATAAGATAGAGTATCATATGTTGCTGTTGTTGTTGTTATGTGCCGTCAAGTCACTTGCGACTTATAGTGACCCTATGCACAACAGCCCTAAACTCTGCTCTGTCCTGTGCCAATCTCACTGTCTCTGACACTCCCATCCCGATAACCCCAGTCACCAAATCAATCCACCTCATAGATGGTCTTCCCCTCCAGTGCTGTCCCCCCACCCTCCCAAGCATGATGTCCTTCTCCAAGGACCGGTCTCTTCTTACAACAGGTCCAAAGTATGTCAGAGGGAGTATCAGAACCCTTGCCTCCAAGGAGCCTCCTGGTTTAACCCTTTCCAGGACGAATCTGTTTGTTTTCCTAGCAGTCCATGCCATTCTCAATACTCCAGCACCACAGCTCAAAGGCATCAATTCTCCTTCTATCCTCCTTGGTCATTGTCCAACTCTCTGATGCATAACA